ATTGTGCTTCCATGTCAATTTAAAGATTCATTGTTTGAGCCTGGTGTGCAAAGCCTTAAGAGGTCACCAATCCAAGCACCTAACATGCCTCCTATAGTGTAAAATGTTGGACTGTGAATTACATAATTGCTATTAATTACATAATTTCAGTGTTTAAATGTGTAGGGCTAAAGGTTACTTTTAAATTCCAAAGCCACAGAAGGTTATGTGGCATTAAGCCATGGGCTCACCTTGGGCTTCCTAAAGGTTGTGTCATATTTGTGTACATTCTTGCTCGATCTGTCCTTGACCTAAAAAAATTCAGAGGTTGTGAGGAATTCCGGAACTACCCTAAGTGACAGGGTTTCATATAATATAGTAGAGAGTTGAATGTTCATAACGAAGCAACAACATGTTAAAAAATGTAGTTCAGTGCTTATCAACAGTTATCAGGTCAACAGTGGCATATTTAGAGTAGCAATATAATTAACTTATATAGGAAATGTGAAACCAACTGCAGGTCAAGTGAATTTTCAGCATTTTTTAAAGTTTATTTTAGCAGATGTATTGACTGCTCTAACAGTTTTCTTTACTAGTAACATTCACTGCAGTTTTTAAAAGCAATGACATATTTTATTGAAAATATTATAACATTAATGCTGGCCATACATTCTTCGATTTTTGGCTGGTTCTTCAGGAACTGCCCAAAATTCACACAGCGCCTTTTGGCCAGCATTCTTTGATCAGCTGTTCGAAGGAGCCAGTTGGAAAATATTAGAACGAACAGACTCAGCAGCCAATGAGCTGCCTCTGTTTGGGTACTCTGACAGCACTCGGCGGCCACTTTCAGAAAACATAAGAAACAAAAGGGATTTCTTGATCAACGCTCATATAGCGTTGATGGAGGAATCTGTTTTATTTTTTTCACTCAGCCCCAGGGTTAAACAAAAATAATAAAACAGTATATGGCCAGCTTAGTATGAAGAAGTTGCCATACCTTGACAAGACATTAGATATTCTGTATGTTATTATTCTATGTATTGCTAATCTGTTGCTAAGCACATCATACTGCTCTGTGTTATTAGCCATTATGGGTAGGATAGCATGTCTAGAGTGTATGTCTGTCTGAGTGTCTGTCACTAAACAAGAACTTCCTCAGAATCCAAACATTGTCAGAATTTGATAGAACATTTACATCATAAGCACACGATATGCTACTTGCTAAGCACAGTAACCCATAGAAAGCAATCAGAATGTATCTTGTATTTGGACTAGACCTGTTTTCTGTGTTACTTGCAGCAGTGTAACTAGAAATCACAGGGCCCCATAGCAAAATTTTGTATGGTGCCGTCCGATTTCTAGTTATGCCCCTCGCAAAGCCCCCTAAGATCCCACACAGCCCACCTGAGAGTGACCCTGCAGAGCCCACCGTAGACTCTCTATGGTGGGCTCTGTAGGGTCTCAGGTGGGCTGGTCACACCCCTGCACACCTCTTACCTGTCAGCCCTGATCCGCTGTCAGCCTTCTCCACCACTGGGCTCTGCGTCCTCCGCGGTCACAGACGGTCCCCTCTTACTTCAGTGTCGTCGTGTCCCCACCTCCTCCATCGTGGCTGGCCCCAGCCTTCTCCTGGGCTGCCGTCGCTGGGCCCCGGCCTCCCCCCTACAAACTGCTGGCTGTCACTGACTCAGCAGAAGAACACGCCACTGCACAGATCACTGACGGGTTGTCAGCGATCTAGACAGCGGCGTGTTCCTCCTCACAGCCGCCAGTGATAGCCAGCAGCCTGAGATGCCATAGCGACCCAGGCGGTCCACACGGCATCAGGGGGACTGATGTTACTCATCCTGGCCGGGCCCCATAGTGGCCGCCTGGGTCGCTATGGTGATAGTTCTGCCACTGGTTACTTGTAAACTGCTACTTGTAAACTGCTAATTGTGCTCTTACATTGCCACCCTTGTCCCATGGGAAGCCCATGTGACAGGGTGGCAATGTAGGAGCATAATTGTGAGACACACTTGATTGACAGCTGGCTCTGCCTCTCTAGTACCGGAGCCGGCTTTGCCCACCCCCTCCCCTGTCTGTTCCTCCAATGAGCGCTGGAAGAATAGAGAAACGGGAAAGGAGAATCCCTGCTGGGAGCGGTGACTGGGAGAAGCCGTGACCTGAGCAATCAACGATTTGTGATTGTTCAGTTCTCGATTTATAGAGCCGGCATGTGACAGCTGCAGTGCCACACGCAGGCTTAAACTATTAGGACGAGTACATTTTACTCTCCCAAACGTTCTTCTTTAATTTATTCACTGCCCTGTCTGAGGTTTATGCTTTTCTTTTTTTTGCACTGGGTGAAAAATGGGCGATAATTATTAATAAGCTATGGTACTTGTTGAACTGTCCAGTGCTAATCCTGAGCTCTAACATCATGAATATTACCTTTTGTTTTAACAGTACAAAAAGAAATGATGCTTACATGCAAAGATATCAGTCTAGCGCACACAGGCGTATGGTTATATATTTCTATAGTGCAAGGACTTGAGGACCAACTATGTTATTATCAGCATATATGTCATTGTGTATCAGAGGAGAGGGGACCAAAAAATGGGACCTCCTCTCAACATACATAATGGGTGAGGTATTCCATACCCTTGTAACCTAGAGATAAGTGAGTCGGAACTGTGTTATCACTTACACTAGGGATGTTCAGATAATGAATTAACATGGACTAGGCAGATCATTGGATAGTGGATACGTGAAATAAATGATTATGTGATTGGTATTTATAAGCCGTGGGGCCATTGGATAGCAGGTAGGCAAAATACAGTTGCATAGCTGAGGGAACCACACACCCTGTTGGACATACATTGCCACATTGCCCACAGATCTGTAGGCTTCTAAGCTACTCCTCAACACTGATGTTTCATATGACTTTTTCTCCCTCTCCCAGCCTGACCTCTGCTAGACACAATATAGAGGAAGTCAAATTCAGTTATTTACAAAGCCTACATTTAAAAATAAATCTGTTTTGTATATTGTATATCTGCCTGGCATTCAAATTCAACCTTTGCTTATCCTTTGTTAATAATACAGTGAAAAGCTGTCATTTTGTTAAAGCCTGATGTTTTTCTGTTGATTAATCCAATCATATTATTATACTGTAGAAGCTGGTGTTAATTTCTATGTGATGCTGCTGTTAAATAGTTTATGCCTCTGCCACTTAGCACTTAAAGCTTAGGAACTCATCTATCTGTCACTTTGCTGTCTCCTCCTGTCAGCTCCTTTCACTCTGGCACACATATACACTTATAGGCTCCTCGTCCTGCTTCTCCCACCCTCTCTCTGAGCTCCGCTGTATAGACTGTACCATTTGGACACCAGGTTGAATTCCGATACTTACACTGCTTGCCTTTAAAAAATACATTTCTTAATCATACATCACAGGACACAGGGGGTTTATTCTGGAATGGGTGTGCTGTGCAGCTACATTGAACTGATTGGACACACTGCAAATCAATGCTGTGTTAGTACAGCCCTGTATAATCCCTCCCACAGGCAGCCTGTAGAACCACATGTCATGACCTCCCCCTGAGGTACTGTAGTGTGCATGTGCCTGCCATTTTCTTTCTTCTTCTACGCTGAGCTGTCCACACACTACTACCTCTGCTGCTGTGGCTCTTCATGACTACACAGGGAGTCCAGATCTCTGCACTGCTATACTGGATCACCATTGCTGCCTACATTGTTGGGGCACAAGTCACTCCCTAACCTCCACAGTAGTGAATACCTGAGGTTCTCTCTCAGCCAATGGGAGCTCATAGACGAGAGGATGAATGGGCAGCAGGCCACACAGTCTGACAACAGTTCTGGGGAGGGTTCTCTCCCCTCTAAGCACACTTTTTTTGCTAGCCCTATGCTCTGCTCTTTCTCCCCACCACTTCCGGCCTCAGGGTCTTCCTCAGCACCCTCTAAGGCACCCTTCATTACCATGCTATCCAGGGAGGAGTTTATGGTTGGATTTATGGAGAAAATGTCTGAACTATTGGAGTCCTCAGACCACAGGGGGCGTACTTGGGCCCCCCTCTCCTTCCCCTTCAAATTTCCCCCTCTGACCTTCCTCTGTCCGCAAGCCCTGAGGAAGAAAATGAGAAAGAATGGGCTGTAATCACTTAGGGAAAGGGGGAAAGAGCCGATTTGTAGTTTTGACAGCATGCTTTGCAACACAGGGAAGTGCTTATTCACAGGACTGAGTGAAAATGTGTCACTGCATTGAGGACGTACATCCTATGGGCATCTTCAATAAGTACATTTACAAACTTCTAGATTTAAATGGTTATTAGGAGTGGATAGAACTTATGGAAATTCAATATAGAAACACATACGTATTTTTAGCTTTTGACTATAGATAGCAGTGGTGTAGTGGTTAGTGCTTCTGCCTTGCACCACTAAGGGTCCCTGATTCGAATTCCGGCTAGATCACTATCTGCCAGGAGTTTGCATGTTCTCCCTGTGCTTGCATGGGTTTTGTCTGGGTACTCCTGTTTCCTCCCACACCCCAAAGACATGCCGGTAGGATAATTGGCTCCTGTCTAAATTGGCCCTTGTAGGTATGCATGTGACATAGGGACCTTAGATTGTTAGCTCCTTGAGGGCATGGACTGATGTGAATGTGCACTTTGTAAATCGCTGCGTAAATTGTCGGCGCTATATAAATACCTGTAAAAAATAAATAGATACCCTTTAATGTTTACAGTGCTTGATTCATTTGTGCACTCTATTTCTGCCTGGAGTCCAGCTTTAAGAAGCATCAGCCACCACTAAAGTGTCTGATTGGTTCCCCTGGCTATTTTGCTCCTGTAAAGAGCAGATCAACCAGGTGATCTGGAGACACGATGTTGGCACTTATCTTATAAACATGGCACAATATTTAAAAGTCTTACTAATCATTATTCTTTGGGTTCCGGCCAGTTAAAAATCAGTAAATGAAATGTGGAATATTCATTTCCATATCTGTCTCATTCCTTCAGATGATCCCGTCTCTGCCGGAGTCACATCGTCACAACAAGATCTAATGCTGTACATTGATCATCTATCCAACCTTTGCCTAGAGAGAGAACCCCAAGAACTTTGATCTTTACTGAGCCCGTTAGGGAAGGAGGAACTGGAGGAGGAGATTGAAGACATCTGAAAAGACAAGGAACAATGCTTAACACCAGAGCAAGTAAGTGTCTCCTAGAGTGCCTATTGGTTGGCTCGTAGCGCAGTCAAACATACTATATTCAGTGTGGCAGGATACCTACTTTAGAACGCTACAAGAGTTTTTCAGTGCCCTAAATATGTATGATCATCTATATGTCGTGCTGCTGGTTATTGAAGCATAAGCTTAAATTGAAATTGCAAGAATTTAAAAACCTAGAGGCGACATGAGTCCTGTTAAATGGAATTACTGTATTTTTGTTAATTTATTAATGCACGGATAGTCAATGAAAATAATTGCACAGTCTTGCCTTGTCTGTGCTGCAAAAGGCAAATCATTTGGTGGGCTGTATAACCATGCTTATTTGTTTAACCTTAAAAAATGTACAGTAGATGCATGTTTTACAAGATTATAACCTATTTTGTATTGTATTATTTTTATTCACAACCACCATAACTACAAATCACTTTGCTAAACAAAAAACAATAAGATAATAAAAAAACCTCTTATATACATAAATATTAATAAACATGCACAGCGCTAAAAGTAACCAACAATAAATATGTATAAAATCATCAATATAAGTGATATTAAAAGCAACAGTTATATTTAAGAATAGGTCATATATCCTCAATAAGCTATAAATGTAAAAACATAAAATAAGTATATAGAATACAAGAGCAATTAGAGTGCAAAGGGTAATCCAAGTAAATTGTAAATAATCAGTGTTGACAACCGACAACAACCAGATTGTCAAAAACTTTGTATAAAGTGCAAAAGTGCAAACCAAAAGCAATGTAAACTTTATATTAAAAGTGAAATCCAAACAAATGTGACCTTTTGATCAATGGTAACCAATATCAACCAGTTTGTTATCCAATACCACAATGTGCGAATTTCAGTTCGTACATTCTGGACCAAAGTGAGCTTTCAGTTTCTAATACTGGTAATAATCAGTTATCATCCACCACAGGTAAGTTTTATGCTCAACCACATCTGTAGTATTCACTATTAACCAGTAAGTCCCTGTGCTCTCTTGTACTCCTCCAGGTTGGGTTAAGTCACCAAATAAGATTGACTTTCTAACAAGGCTTTCTCAGTAGTTATTTCAGTGGCATCACTCAGGCAACTTAAGTAAAGTTAATCAAGTTAATTCCATTAAAACGTAGGTGAGTTAAGAATAGTTCTTCAGTACAGAGTATCTCATACATATACAGTAATATCTCGGTTCACAAACGCTTCTGTTCGCGAACAGAAAGTTCGTCAAAACGTTTCTTCCGTTCGCGGCATCCACATCGGGTGACGAACATGACCGCGGCCATCTTCCTTGCTCTGGCACGTGGTCGTGGCTTCCTTAAGGTCTCGTTCACACCTAGGCGTATTGCATATGCGTGACCGTCGCACGTTTTTTTACCGCGTATTCACGTATACTTGGCTGTGTACCAATGGAAACGCACAACAAAACGGCCCAAAGTAGTACATGTACCTTTTCAGGCGTGGGCCGTTTTGTAGCGCGTTAGGGACGGGCGGAAATACGCCAAGGTGGGAACGAGACCATTGAATACAATGGGATTTATATTTTTGAGCGTTTTGTAGAGCGTTCGTTGAGCGTAGAACGTGCTACAAAACGTTCAGGTGTGAACGAGGGCTAAGTCGAGATCGCGTTCGCAGATAGACCTGTGCATATTTGCTGTGAAGCTTCTTTGTGGGCTTTTTAGCACATACAGTACTGTGCAGTATTATTTAATCCAGCATGGCTCCAAAGAGATTGCAGAGCAAGCATGGTGGTAAAGTGCAGAACAATAATGAAGGTAACAAGAAAGTGCAGAGCAGGAGTGGTAAGAAGAAGGTTTTGAAGCAAATAACCATTGAATTGAAGAAGGAAATTGTAGATTGTAGTTTAAAAAAAAATTACATATGTACCAGAACGGATTAACCTTATTTACATTGAACTAGGGATGCACAGATACTTTTTGAGTACCAGTGCAGATACTTGGCATTTTCATAAGAACTACCAGGGTTGCAGCGGTTGCAGCTGGGACCGGGCTCTGGTGCTCCACAACTGTCCTGAAATCATTAGTCTGTATTGTTTTAGAAAAACTGCCACATGATAATCAACAAAAATGGGAAAATGGTAGAAAGACTGGAGGAGCTTTTAAACTAGAAAGTGGGGGGGAGGGTATAAAAATAAAATTACTTAAACTAAACGTTGATAATTTAATCATAGATAAAAATAACACAGAAAGTAGTAAAAAAGGAGTTAATAATAGTGGGCTCACTCCAGTCAATATAGGAAATCCGTTGGCACATGTAAGTATAACTAACAACGGACGACCGAAATCAAGGCAGAATAAAGCAGCTGCCTTTTTCTCTAGTGTAGTCTTGGAGCTCGAAAGTATCGGTACATGTACTCGTACTTGTACCGAGTACTGTACTTGGTATCTGTGCAACCCTACATTGAACCTTATGGGAAAATATTATGCGTTTCGCAACCAATTCGGTTCGCGTCCAGGATCGTGGAACGAATTAAGTTTGTGAACCGAAGCACCACTGTATGCATAAATATGTAACCACAAATGAATGAATGTTTTTGTATTTGCTGTTCTGGCTTTTTGATGATCTCATTTAGGAAAGGGTACTCAAGCAAGAACACCTATATTTTGGATTATTAATTTGTCATTGCCTTACCGGTGGTTATACTCATAACTAGAGAGCAGTACTGGAACCTGAAAGCAGTAAGTGACCATTCATGTATAATAATGTCATAGTGGGGTCAGTCTGAAGCACTAAATTTAAGTATATGGAATACACCAGACTGAACTGAAGATAAGCCTGATAGGAGAGGATGGGATTTTGTTATCTTATCAGCCAAGGATAGTAATGTATAGCTGAGCAAATCTGATACCAGATGCTGACATGTTTCTTTTTGAAGCACTACTCTGTCTCAAAACATCTTTCTTTCACAAAGAGCAAAATGCATTATCCCCAATGCTGTATACTGACACTTCTGCATAACAGTGTAATATATGAGCCAGGGACCCTAAACTGTGACCATTCTGCCAAAACTAACATTTTGCACACCTCTAACTTTCCCTGCAGCTAGCATCCCAAGCATATTAATTACTTTACCTAAAACTTCTAACCTCATAATCTCCGCACCTAACTCCATGCAACTCCTATAATACTAGAAACCTTGAACTGTATGTCCCCTATCCTCAAAGAAAAGTAATTCAACTGCATGCTTGCTTTAGGTGATAGTAATGAAAATGGATTTTGTGGATAGGGAGACCCTAGGAGCAGAGGCACAGTTGCAACTGCAACCCCTACTATGCCTGATTGTACACCTCTGAGTAATTCATAGTAACCAGCCAAAGATTTGTCACTGTCCTAACTAAACTTACAAGATGGGAGCTGATTGGTTGCCATAGTTAAATGCACATAGTTGTGTTTTGCTGTCATCGAATGAGCCCCAACTCGTTCATGAAAAAAAGCATGGTGCATAGTAACCTCCCCCCTGCAGATTGAAACTGAGCAGCAATATTTTGGAGTTTTCAAGGTTAAGCATGGATTGAGCAGGTGGCTTTTGGAATTGATTCTGAATGTTTGGAAGGTTCTCCTTCTAGTAGAATGTATTAAATTAGCAAATAAGGGTTAATTGCTGTATCAACTTAAAATAGCTCTCAGGAAGCGGAGAGTCAGAACATTAATGTCATTATCTCATCCAGTGTCTCCTCTCCTTTCATCATGAAAGTGGATTCTGGCACACTCATGTTTTACCATTTACTTAAATATATGTGGCGGCTCTTTTGTTTGAAGGCTGATGAAGGTTTTACTGAGGCCATTCAATCAAGCAGAAGCATAGTGCTCAAGGTACTTTTGCGTACAGTACACATTCAGCATTGAATTAGTATCTGTTCATTCAACGTTACTGCTAAAGATGTGATTGTGTCTTTGTTAATCCTAATAACCATATAGCTTTGGTCTCAGTAATAAAAGTATTTTGAGTCAGATAAAGGGTAGCATAAGGATTTTATGGACATCTGATCTTTTCTCAGGAGCCTAATCAAACGTAATAGTTATCCTGTGCTCAGAAACTAACTATAAACCAAAGAGTGCAAATTTAAGGTGGAACACCATATTCTAAAGTGGCGTGAACTTGTGAATGTGTCTTGATGTTGGCTTCTGCCATGCACAGCAGTACTCAGGATGAGGGAGGAAGAGCTAGCACAAGGGACCCAATAGTAGAACCCAGACTAGGAGTAGCTAATTAGAGCTCTGTTGATTGCACAGTACTATCAAGTACCCTGATTATAGGAGGAGAAAGCAGAGGGATGACCTAATCATTGTGCTGGCCTGGACTAGATTATCGTTTAAAGCTGGACTTTGCTGTGCTGTGTAGCAAAGTTGCGTAAATCTCAGAACTGAATGAAGAGAAAATCAATTGCCGGGTAAAACAGCCTCCTTAGATGTATTTCAACTGTTTATTTAACTGTTTGCTTGGAGTTCAAATTTAGCTAGCTGCGACTGGCTGACTGTGACTTCTGTCTGAATATGTCTGGATTAAAGGAAATACCGAACAGTATTATAAACTAATTGATAGATAAAATGCATCACATATATGTATTACTAACCTGTATTTACCTGTCTGCCTGGAGGTTGGCTTTGAAAAGTCAATTGAAATTGCATAACTCGTATTCTATACAAAATCTTATAACTCTTTAATAGAGACTCAAACAGCTGAAAAAGAAAGGAAAGAAGGGAAGGAGATAAAAATACTACTTTAGTTTGTATACACATGGCTCTTTGGTCTCTACGTCTCTCCCATCCTATTTCTAGATGAGAGGCATTTGAAGAACACAGAGGCCAGCAGAACTATTAGTCTTGTACACACCAGCAAATTGCATTTATCCAACGCGTTTTACTTAATTTGCTGCAGATTACATTATTAGTCAATAATGTTAAAAAAAGACTGATATCCATCATTGTTAACCTC